GTGTCATCCGAGTCGTGGCACGTCCGAAGAGCGATGTGTGTTCCACGCATGTCCGAGCCTCGCTTCGCCACCGCCGCACCCTCTCGCATGCTAGCCACGTGCTTCGTTCCTCCTGATGCCATGTCCGAGCCTCGCAGCGGCCTCGTGGCCTTCGCTTCTCCTGCCAATTGTCCGAAGCTCGCATGAGCCACGCCTCTCCATCCTGACCGAGTCTCGCCGCTGTGATGTGGACTCTTCTCAGCTACAAGGATCGAACCCTCTCACCCTATCTAAAGGGAGGCTGCGAGCCTTCCCAGGTAACTTTGAAAATTTGACACTTTTTCACCTTAATTCCACATATTCACTATTTTGACTTTCCCCGAAGCCCCGGTATCAATTTTAGCACCCTAAACACGTCCCGAAGCTCCCGAGAAGCCTGAAAAATTAATCTTTTCAGTTTTGAAGCTCTACCTTCGCAGAGACTGGTTTTCAATTAAGCTCCCAGTTTTCAACATAGAAAGTCATATTTAAAGCCGATGTGCTGTCCAAATTACTATTTTAACCCCCGATTAATTTAAGGTGAGTTCAATATATAGGAACAATTGTATGTAATGTGTTATATGTGCTATGTGCTTTTCAGTGATATTATTCCAGGTTATTTTCCTGTGTTATTTTATTCGCTATGTTTATAGCAAATGTAATACCTTTTACCATGTGATCAGTGAAAAGACTTAGATTCACATTGGTACTGGTACATAGTCTCTGGCCATGTAGAGCATGTCTCCGTAAGAGAATGACTTCTATTCTATGGAATTGGCAAATGGTTAGATAGTACTATAAGCCTGAAATCTAACAAGATGTTAATCAAAAATTTCATGTCTTCTATGCCATTCGGGCCAAAGTTTTATTGATGTATATGAAGCATTGAAAAGTATATCTTTGAATAAAGTCTTTGATTGATATGAACGCCTGTCACATGATTTCATATATTTCTTTGTTGTTCCTCTTTGCTTCTGCCATATTGAAGTATATATACGGCATAACGTTATATTATATCTATTATTGAACTCACTAAGCATCACTGCTTACCCTATCAATGTTGAACAATTGCAGGTGATAAGTAACTAGATTGATCACATACTGTTGAAAGATTTAGAATAGTTTGTAATAGTACTTTTGTACTCCAGTTTATGTTTGTATCAATTACAATATCCTGGGTAGTTATGTAATATATAACACTTTTTAATAGTCGGTTTGTATCCAGTAGTTTGTAATCTCTTTATCAATGTAAAATATTGCTTTTTATGAATATGCAAGTAGCTTTCTTTAGAGTAATAATATTGTGAAGTATGAAAGTTTGGGTCTTTAAAAAATTCGAAAGTTGGGGTCTTTTAACCATGGTATCAGAGCAGTAGTTTAAGCGAACTAAATTCCACGGATTGGTATTTAGACTTAAACTATAGGAAGCTCAATATATGAACTTAATCATTGTAAGTTTAGGGATAAAACCCATAGGAAATATATAAGTAAAAGTATTACGTAATAATAAACCCTAATATTCTAAAATACTATCTTACTTTGTATTTCAGATCAATGGTTGAACAAGTAAGTAGCGATACCCCTGAGGTTGGTGGAGATCCTCAACCCGAGGAAGTGAATACTCCAGTATCTCCTCATGAGGAGCGACTCTTGGGTAAACTTACTGGTGTTATTCGACAGACTCTCGAAGAACACAAAAGGAATGGTGATAAAGGAAAAGAGAAAGCCACTGGAGAATCTTCAAGCGGAAAGGTGAAATGTCCCTCGTTCAAAGATTTCAAGAGTAGTGGTGCTATGGAGTTTTCTGGTGTCCTTAATCCTATAGTTGTTCTAACTTGGATTCAGCACACCAAGAAAGTATTTCGTTTCTCTCATGTGGATGATGAAGACAAGGCTATCTATGCTTCCACAATGCTCATCGGAGAAGCCTTGGTAAGGTGGGAAGCAACATATGAAGCTCTCAACGGATGTGACCAGGAGAACTTATCCTGGGAGTTGTTCAAAACTCGTGTGCTAGAGAAGTATTGTCCTCTAGATATGAGGAGAAGATTGGAGAAGGAATTCCTCGAGCTTAAACAAGGAGGAATGACTGTGAATGAGTATGAACAGTTTAATCAAAGAGCAAGGTTTGCTACAAAGTATATTCCAACTGAAGATGAGAAAATTCAGTTATTCATGGAGGGACTACGACACGAAATCCATGATTTCGTTGCCAATCGAGAAGTTCTGTCATTTGATCAAGCCGTTGAGTATACTCGAAGATGTGAGCATGACTTAGAGATACGTGGTGCCACTCTTACTATTCCAAAGCATCCACGTACTGAAAGAACTACTCCTGTTTCCACTATTCCACTAGCTCAATCTGTTCAAACTGATCCTAGCAAGCAAGCGCAATCTCAAAGTGCTTTTCGTGGCCGCGACAGGTCACAATCCTTTTCTATTTAATCTCCTTCATGTCGCGTATGTGGAAGGAATCATCCGGGTCAATGCATAATAGACAAGGAATCCATTGTCTGTTATGGGTGTGGAGAAACTAGTCACATAAAGCCAACTTGCCCAAGGAAGGATGTAACTTGCTATGCATGTGGTATTACTGGCCACAAGAAGCGTTTTTGCCCTACTCTTACCAGCCAAGTGACGGGATGTCAAGCTTCTATTCAAAAACCGGTGAGAAGTCAAGTCCCTGTCCAACAACCAAAGAATACTCCAGCTAAAAGGAGGATGTGCCAAAAGCTAAGGGTCGTGCATTCCAGATTACCACAGAGGAAGCATGCAAGGACCCGAATGTTGTGACGGGTACATTTCTTGTCAACTCTAGACCTGCTCACATCTTATTTGATTTTGGTGCCTTAGATTCTTTCGTATCTTATGAATTTGCGCATTCTTTTCAAACTGCTTGCTATGCACTCGCGCAACCATTTCACGTAGATACAGGAAATATATCATTACTTGCTGATAAAATCTATAGGGATTGTGTTATAGAAATTGAAGGCTATAATTTTCTTGCTAACCTAATCCATATCTCCTTGCCCAACTTCGATATTATTCTCGGCATGGATTGGTTGTCAAAGAGCCACGCAGAGCTCTTGTGTTACGAAAAGATGGTACGCATTCCTATTGAAGGGGAAGATCCTATTCATGTCTACGGTGAACAAAGGATCTTAAAAATAATCTCTTTCCTCAAAGCTCGTGAATTTATATTGAAAGGTTGTCCTATCTATCTGGCCTATACAGTTGACATCTCAAGAAAGGAGAATAAAACTGTAAATGATATTCCCATTGTTAACGAATATCCTGATGTTTTCCCCGATGATCTGCTTGGACTTCCTCCGGACAAACAAGTAGAATTCCGAATTGACCTTGTTCCTGGTGCTGCTCTAATTGCAAAGACTCCTTATCGTCTTTCACCAGCCGAGATGAAAGAAATGATGATCCAACTGCAGGAATTACTTGACAAAGGCTTTATTCGGCCGAGTAACTCTCCCTGGGGTGCTCCAGTATTGTTTGTCAAGAAGAAGGATGGATCGATGCGAATGTGCATTGATTATTGTGCGCTAAATAAGGTGACTATCAAGAACAAGTACCCACTACCTCGCATCGATGATTTGTTTGATCAACTTCAGGGTGTTAGCTATTTGTCAAAGATTGATTTGAGATATGGCTATCATCAGTTGAAAGTACAAGAGCAAAATGTATCGAAGACAGCTTTCCGTACTCGTTATGGGCATTTCGAATTCCTTGTCATGCCATTCGGTTTGAAAAACGCTCCTGCTGTATTCATGAATATGATGAATCGAGTATGCCGCCCAATGCTCGATAAGTCTGTCATCGTATTCATTGACGATATTCTAATCTATTCCAAGTCTGAAGCTGATCATGCTATTCATATTCGTGAAATCTTAGAACTTCTTCGAAAGGAGAAACTTTATGCTAAATTCTCGAAAAGTGAATTTTGGCTTCGTCAAGCTCAATTTCTTGGCCATGTTATTTCTAATGATGGTGTATCCGTAGATCCTATCAAAATCGAAGCCATTCAAAATTGGGAAGTTCCCCGTAATGCTTCCGAAATTCGAAGTTTCTTAGGTCTCGTGGGATATTACCGGAGATTCATTAAAGACTTTTCTCGTATAGCTGTACCTCTCACGAGTCTTACATGGAAGGAAGTGAAGTTTGAATGGAGTGAAGCCCAAGAAAAAGCTTTCTCAACTCTAAAAGATCTTTTGACTCATCCTCTAATCTTATCACTCCCAGAAGGTGATGATGATTTCTCCGTGTATAGCGATGCTTCAATATTGGGACTCGGTTGTGTATTGATGCAGTGTGGTAAAGTGATAGCCTATGCCTCAAGAAAACTGAAAGATTATGAAAAGAATTATCCCACCCATGATCTTGAACTTGATGGAGTGGTATTTGCCCTAAAACTTTGTAGACATTACCTTTTTGGTACGAAATGCCAATTGTTTACCTACCA